ATGATAAAGCTATGGAGATAAGTATTTGACTTTCTGAGACCGAAGAGTCGAATCGTTTAGAAAAGGGAAAGTGAAACTCGAAACTCCGAACAATAGCTTTTTGTTTCTCCCCTATAAACAATAGGTGGAGACATTGAGTTACCCTTGTTCACAAAAAAGTTCTAATGTCTTGCTATAAATAAAACATTACATAATATGTCTAAGACACATTTTGATATTGGTTTGTAAAAAAAGACTTTAGTGTTTTATGACAATAAAGTGAAAATATTCAGTTATTTTTTCTGTGCCGAACACGAAACTTGTGATAAATTTATAGAACGACTTTTAAATGGCAAATAAAACAAAATTTCATGATGGTTGGTTGAGTCGTAAAGGCGCAATCAACAAATAAACAAACTTATTTTCCGGTTCATAATATAAACTAAAACTCATTCGAAATATTTTGATAGATTATAACAGTTAACGCTTCGGCCCTGAAATGAGCTACCTTCCGAGGTTTTCCCTAGAGACGACTGTACGAGGTTCTTCAAAAAGGGTATATTAAGGTTTCTGCAGGGTCGCAACGCGTACGTGACACCTCTAGTGTAGCAGGTGTTCATAGGTTACAGTGACCGTTTACAATTAGATAGGCTTTATACTTTTCTTTATTATTGCATGACATGTGACCAAATCATTTTAAGCAAACACGGAGGCAATGTGGTCCATGAATACGATCAACCAAAAAGAGAATTATTTACTCTCAATGATTGACTGCACTATGCCGCCTTACTAAGAGCTTTTTCACGCTACGTTTGAATGATCCGATGTTATAAGTTGAAGGAAACACGTTACGGGAAAGGCAATTCCACATTTTTACGGTACAGTTCACGTAAGAGGTGGCAAACTTACTTGTTTGCAATCTTTGTGGTATAAAAAATAGGTGTTGTGTAATACTTAATACTTGCCGTATGATTCCGGAATAGAATAGGCTACCCCCTTCCTTTCCTGTGGGTGTTGTAAGAGGCGACTAAGGGAAGACGAGGGATGAACAGTAGCGTCCGTCTTAAAATATCTACAAAGCCTAACTTCGGTTGCCAACCCGCCTGCCAAGTGTGGCAACTACTGGCAAAACCCCCCAAGGGAGTAGTTTATGTTCAGCAGCGAACAGTTAAAGGCTGATATGATTGTGATGATAATACTTAATACGAAAATAACGAATGGCGATTCTGAAGTTACAACAGACATAGTAAGATACTTATATAAGTGTCATTGAGATGACCCTATCGGTCGCTCAACAAACTTAGAACCTTAATCCGTGTTTATTCTCCAGAGATTGTAAGCCACGAATTATTCCAAATTCTATAAGAACTGTTGCTATTTTGAAGTTCTAGGCTAAATCAAGTTAAACGAAAAAGACAAAATGGCGTACGTAAAGGTGTCTATTTATTAAAGCGAAAAAAGTAGAGAAAAAGAGATTTTAATTTGATATACATAAAATATTATATAACTGATAATATATCTTCGTTCACCTCTACCTTAGTGGATGAAGGAATGCATTTCTGTTTTTTTCTATTGCTAGATTAAAAAAAAGTTGCATATTTATTGATGACTAGTTAATGTAATAAAAAAGGGTGTGTTAGCTGCGCTAACATTATTATCACTTCATTTAATGATTGTGAATCCTTATTATGAAGTGTTGATGCTTTATATTGTTATAAACAAAACTTCGGTTTTATATTTGTAATGAATTAAGTGACATCAAAATTATGAAAGTATAATTAGTAAGGTTGTTTTTTTTGGTGATCAGACAGCGTTAAAGTGTTAATAACCTTAATACGGTTTAGTATGATATTTAATCTTTATGATCATCATAGGTCTAAAAGTTTGACTTTATCTCCTTGAAATTTGGCAAACATATTTTATTAATATAATAAAATTATAAAAAGGCGATCTCTGCACATGGGATATATTTAAGAAAAAATAATATGAGGGGTCTTAATAAGACTAATAGATGCCAAAATAGTAAGTTAAAAAAAAAATGTTTGACTGTATGTTTGTTTCAGCATCACGCAAAACTGCTGCACCAAATTGAATCTGGTTTTTATAGCTGTATTTCTGAAGGTCAGACTTTAAAATTGGAGTATGTTTAATCTTAATACGTGAACTACGTTAACAAGTGGTCTATCTACAGTGGTCATTGGTTTTCCTACTTTTTTTTTTTTTTTTTTTTTTTATGCAACTTAGAATGACAAACAAGCTGACGACCCACCTGATGGAAAGTGGTAACCGTCGCCTATAGACATGAGCAGTACCATGGACATAGCAGATTATACTGTTTCACCCATGATACCCCCCATGCGTTGCCATTCCTGAGGACTCAGGTGTTATTCCTCTGTACCCAGTAAATTCACGCCATATCCCACCCTTCAAACCGAAACACAGTCATGCAAACACAACTGCTTCACGGTTGAAACACGAATGGGACAGAGGTACCCAAGCAATCGACTTTTGTACAAAGTCTCCCTCTGGTAAATTGGTACTTTTGCTTCCATGTGTACGAAGTAGCGAACAAAAAGTTAATGGCATATAAAATTGAGAAGGATTTCGAGAGGCTTCTATAGCTCGGTCACACGGACGATGTCGCTGGCATAGCTAGGAAAGAAGTAAAATATGACTAACGACTCGAATTCTAAAAGTCACTAATTAGAAAAACAAATATTGAAAATAAATTAATCAGTTGAATGTGTTATCGATTAGCTGGCTTCATGGGTTTGAGATGGTTTGTTGACTTCAATTCGGTTTCATTATCAATCCATATTACGCAGGCTTGAAATTGTGTTAAATAAACGCAATTGTAACGATGATTTGATTTCAATAGCCTTTGTTCGGCAGTGGCACGTTAATTAGAGGAATGATTAGTTCTGAAACAAGTAGAGCGGTAAAATAATTCACCGCGATACTAACACACTGAAATGAGCAATTGGAAGCAGGAACTTTATCGTATCCGTCCATCTTCGCTTTGATGGAAATTGGTCCTTATTCGAAATTACATTCACGTTCATTACGAGTTCGAATTTGATGATTTCGTTTTTGTTCAGTTCTAAATTTTTTATTGAAAAGTAATTGGATAAAAAGGACAAGGTCGAAAGAGCGCTTTGTTTTAAGACACCTTAGATTATATAGATAGAGTGTGTTCATACAAATGTTTCGCCAAAAACTGTACAACTTTTTATTCATGTCTGCATGAATAGGGTTACCATAATACTTTTTTTTTAATATGTTTAGCCTATGTTCAGAAGTGATTAGTTAACGGCTGATATGAAAATTATTTAATATATGGGATTAAAAAATAAAAATGTACAAAGTTGTTACGAATAAATTAGAAAAAATAAAAAAAAAGACTGCACAATGATTCGTAATTAATGTTAATTTTTATTGAATATTTGTCTTATATCTCAGTATAGATATAAAATATGTTTTCATTGTTAAATCATTGAAAATGGTCGCCATCCCTTAGTCGGCTTTTACGACACCCATGGGAATAGAAGGGGTGGCCCATTCTATGCCGGGACCACACGGCCATTATATATATATATAAAACTAGGTGTTTCCAATTTTTATTTGAAAATGCTGACCGGGGAAGTTTTTAATTCAATTACGACCAATACTGCAAAAAAGTGCAGTATCTTTAAATAAAAAAAAATAATCAGCTTATTAAATTTTGACACTTTTTTATACTTGTTGCTCCATATATATAATCTAAGACTCAATATTTGATCCGTGTGGTGATAGAGAAATAATACAATGTGTTACTATTTCTATTTATGGCCAGGATGTTGTTAGAGCTAATTAAGGGGACAGAAGATAATTAACAACTATAATAGAAAAAAACACGAAGCAAAACCCTGTAGTAATTGGAATAGGTAAATATATTCCTTTTATGAGGAAAAATAAAGGCCGTTAATGAGTTGTTATTGTGATGGTAATATTTGATTTTATTTTTAAAATATTTGATAAATTTTAACAAGACATATCTTTATGCGTCATGTTGAGAATGTCGTATGTGTATATAATAAAAGATTTACGGTGATGTCATTATATTTTTTTAATGTACGAGTTAATTCTATTTTGAGGTTTAGTTTTTCATTTTATCAAACAGAACAGTGTTTACATGTTTATGTTAGAAGACAAAGTAGTTATCAAATTATTACATCTAAAACGATTGGGCTTAAAAAGTGTCTCATTACACTTTTCAATTTAACTTCTATGCCAATCATAATAGTAAATATAATTAAAATTTCTGGAAATACAAGGATCATTTGATTCTCTTTGTAAGTACAGAACTTTATAATAATCATGTTGTTTGGATTTCCTTTGTATATTTATGGTATCAGTGAATCGAATGGGTTTCACAGTATGGAAAGAATGCTTGGGATCAGAAATTAAATTAATTAAAATTTACTAGCACGGACCAACCATATATCTATACCCATACATTCTAATGGTATTGAATACATAGTTTACATCTTTCATCATTTTATATATCATCATATCATCATATTTCTAACATCAGTATGCCCGTGGGTTGGTGAATTACTTTTTGGTAAGGCATAAATAATGATAATATATAGTTTCAGTGTGTGAAATCGATCTCGTTAGCAAATAATACATCTTTTAAAATATCTTTAATAATCAAAACGAGTAAAGTGACAATAGAAACATGATAGGACGCTGTATTTGATATTTTCATCTCCAGTTTTTATAAACCTTGTAAGTGTAATATCTATTGAGTGCCAGATAGCTATCTGTTGTTGACATTATTTACAAATTTCTTGTTCTATTTATTTTGTGCGTTTTACTATGACAATAGATCAACAGAATACTTACGTGTATCATCATAATGTACTCCTTGGAAGAAGCTGAAGCATTTCTGTACTGCGATGGTGTCAGGAGGTGTGGGGTTCCAACACAACAGACCATCATAATATGCCGGGCAATAGCCCGTCACATTAATGTTCTTAGCCAAACAGTTATCCCTCGCCGTGTCATTGCTGAGCCCAGCCTGGCCCTCGGTCCCCTCCAGTGTGTGTAAATCCTCCAGTTTGACGTCTATCACTTTCACTCGACTAGAAAATTGAGCTTTAAAGCTTTGATTTGTTCTTTGGCTTGATTAACACTCATTTAAACTTCACTTTTAAACACCCATGCACATTTAATTTTATTTATCTAATCCTTAATTAACGAGAGTTCGGCCATCACCAACAAGCCACTGAGGGTTGAGATGTTTGTTTCAAGTGTAATGCGCGCCTCGCCCCGTAGCGGAGTCTGTGTTATGCCCGAATGTCTTCAGTAAGAATGTTACCATGATAAAACTGTTTACACTCGGCTTGTGATCTAACTTATCGAGTGATAACGCTCTGAGAGCAAACATCGGCTGACTAGGAGTATTTGCGTGTCGTGCAAGGAACCTTTGCTTTTTCTAATTATCGCCGCTCCATTTACACCGGAGTCCGTGAAACCTGCAACAAGATAAGTACAATTATGTTTTCGCTTTGATAGTTTTGTACTTATGTGTGTAATTGAAGATACTGAACATGTCATAAACGTCAAGAGAGTAAACTAGAATGAATTATTACACCTTGGTAATTATTATGACAAGCGGGCCAAGCAAACATATATTTGTTAGAAGGACAAAGGTGCTTGTCCCGTCATGTTGTGAAATATGCTAGTGGATGGCAGAAAGTACAAATTATTTCTTCTTTTTTCCTTATTGTAATAATAGATATCTTAATGTTGCACCTTTTTAAATTAAGTAGGTATGGTGAAGTTGAGTTGAATTTCTCAAAGCGAGGCTTGATCTCCGTGCGAAATGGCTGCCAGTTCTTGTTACTGTAATAACTTTATATTTTGTTTCATGTTTATTTTATGTTCGTGTATACAAATAAATTAGGTATCTACAGAGTATGTTTTAGATTATGTTGTCTATGTTTATGTAGATTTTAATTATAAATGTATTCTGCAACTGAAATTATACATGAAGACATAGGAATAAGATTAATATAAAAATTACAATTTGTGTAGATATTATTATAGTATATATATTATATTTTGGTAAATTTTATTCTGTCAAAATTCATAATTCAGCATAAGGGTTTGTTATATTTTTATCTTTGTATCAAATTACCAAATAATTATACATAAATAAAATTACAAATAATAATTATTAATCCACTGCACATCCGCGAAAGTCAATCGCTGAATATTAAAAGAGCATCTTCTGTCCTTATAAACTTATTATTTTTATGTAGGTATATTAGGTATAGTACGTATTTTGAATATGTAGGAATATTTTTTTATATATACATATATGTGTGTGTATGTGTGTATATATATTTCAAATGTAAGTATATAACTTAATTTGTATTTAGGTAAGTTAGTCAGGTAATTACATTTGTTATTTCTTAGGACTATCAAGTAGTGCTAGGAATAAGTAAGTACTAGTACTGTACTGTTTCCACTTCTTATTGTACGCGCACTGCCCGCTGGTAATTAATGCTACTTTTCACTCAAGGTTTGCTGGAAGAGAACTCTTATAGAGTTAAGCTCGTCTGTTATACATCTTAATTTAATATAACTTATAACAATGTAATTTTCATGTATAATAAAGTATAAATAAATAAATAAATCTAAAAACGAGAATAAATTATAGTTGTTATTGTTAATTTATATATATATAATATGTACAATAATAGGAAGTCAGGAAAATACATCAGAATCGAGATTAAATCTTACTCATTATACAACTATATATTTAAATGTTTAATATTTATTCACGTTTATATACACTAATTATGTAAATAATATTGTTTATTTGGATATCAAGTATATGTAAGGATTTCAGATAATGTGGGTATTTTCAGAACTCAGATCATTGTTCAAATAGTTTCTATTTACTTGCGGTGACCTATTCTCTAGTAGTTAAGGTTATTTAAATTATTGCAAAATATTTGTTAAAAATTATTAAGTAAACAGAAATTTTGAGTTTGTGTAAAATAAAGTGCAAACTTTATCGCAGGAAATGTTGTTTGCATGGATGACTTTCTTTCATTCATGTTTCTTCCTCCAAGCAGCTGTGCTTACGTATTGTAATTCAGTTAAAAGGGTAGATTATAGCAGTGAAATTACAGGATACGCAGGCATCGTTCTCACGAACAACAACGTATGAAGTGGACTATAGTTCCTAGAGTCGGGTAATGTCTAAGACTCTGTTGATTTATATAGATGACTACTATAGAAAATAAATAAAATTCGAACCCAAGTTTTGGAAACAATAAAATTTATTTTATATCTTGTCTAATTTTATTTACACTTACATTTTTGTTTTTGAAACATAATATAGATATTTTTGATGGCTTACAGAAGGAAGATATCCGTAGAGGAGCCAATGTGGCCGACATAGCCCTAAGGATATGTAAGCTGAAGTGACGGCTGAGATGATGATACTTATTTAAGTTTTAAACGTCATACTTCAGAAATAATGACGTTTTAAAAAAGAATTTGAAAATATACCGATTCATTGTATCCCTTCTATAACTAGGACCACATTTAGCTTGAATAGTAGGGAGATGTGGGTTCGAATCTCATCAGAGCAATTTGTCAGAAGGTATTTTTTCAACCTTTTAATAATTCTATCTCTTTCGTTCCCATTACAATGCTTAAAAGATATACCATATATATATATATATATATATATATATATATATATATATATATATATATATATATATATATAAACAAATATGGTACAATGGTACCATATTTGTTTATATTTTTTTTTCAAATAAAGCAATGACTTAGAACGTAGGTTATACGTTACGTATATAGCAATAACTAATACAGAATTGACGAAAGGCAGATGTACAAGTAATGTTCAAAGATATTTTTATGCACGAGCAGAGACGATTTCATTGCAATTAAATTCTTTATATTTTTCCGCTGCTTTGATTTAAACGAGAACTGTTCTTTTGTCGGATAGTCAGCAGATTTTAATGTTAATATTATTATAATATAAATTATAATTTATATTTGATATATTTTAAATCCTGTATTGAAATAGTTATTTATATGTCTAATAATAAGGCCAATACGGCGAAATCAGTACAGTTACAAAATTGAGAATTTGTAAAAGTAGTATAAGTTTGTTTCAATTTCAGCAATAAAATAGATAGTTAACTTTTTTTTTTATTCATTAAGGCAGCAAACAAGTAACAGTCCAACTGATGGTAAATGGTTACTGTAGTTTATAAACAACTGAAAAAGGACATTTCGAATATAGTAATTGTATAATATGAGTATATAAATATTTCATTTATATATTTTATTACATTGTCAAATAATTGTGATTAAAATAAATGACAAATGAAAAATGTAATACAACGATAAAGGCGTTAATTTAGGGTTACATCCAAGTTTCATTTTCAGCAATTCTTACATGTTATGGTACAAATCGTATTTGCCAATATATAATATTATTAAATGATAATTTACGATTTATGTGTTCTAGCAGCTTGATGTACGGCTTTACCTTTCTGGCCTGAATTATATTACACGGATAATACAAAAATTTGCATTAATAAGTACGTCTGAGCTCTTATATTGGTCTAGGTATTTTTTTGTATTATATGTTACTTATATACAACACATAAACAAAAAAGTATCTAAATATGTCTATCAGTTGTCTAATATCCATTGTCTAAGTTTTGCTTAGTTTCGGACTAGATGGTGCTATTAAATTAATTTATTATTCATTTATTTTTTATAATTTAATTTTTGCAAGCCATATTTAGTTTTAATAGTTGAATGTATTTATTAAACCTAGGTATACATATTCATTAGCCTTTAATAACGAAATACTTACACAAGTACTTGTCCGTTAATGAAATATGGTGCATGTAAATCATCGAGTAAATATCGCTGTTAAAATTGTTTGCTGAAGTTTTATATGGGCAAACATAGATAATAAATTAGTACTTTTCTCATATAATACAATGCAGTTAGTAGCTGACTCGCTGCCACGAAGTAAACACGGGTACCTACGTTATCTATTAGATAGGTAATATAGATAATAAAAATAGGGAAAATATAGTTTAGTTTCAGAGAAAATGAGTGTACGTGTTATGATATGCAGTCTTGATACTGGTTGACGAGATAACTATGAATTTGTTATTTGTTTTAAATATCTAATCTAAAGATGGCGTTACACTAAAAGAATAGAGTGCAAAGATCAACAGCTAGAATATAAAACACAGTCTAATTTTTATAATAGATAAATAGTATAGAATAGATGGTAAAATATAGTTTAATTGCAAAGAAAATGAGCAAACATGATGTATTTGATATGCAGTTTTGATATTAGTTGACAACTATGACCTGATGTTTGTTTGTGATATATGTTCCATATATGTAATCTAGATGAAGTTTTCCTAAAAGAACAAAGCGAACAGAATCATAATAATAAAGCCTAAAAAACTCTTTCCTACCAGATATCTAACGTACATATTTAGACAAACTCGTTTTGAATTTTTCGGGACACATCACAAGTGTAAAATTGGTTGTTTCTTACACTAAGATACTACAAAATTGTTCGCGAATGCAGCTGAACTACGAAAGAGTACTCTTAGTTTTTTTATAATGGCACGACATATTAAATCCATAGCTACCTTACCATGGATGGTAAGTGATTATGAAATCTATCTGTGGGCCATAGGTCTATCGCAAGAATTTAACCTGCAGCTCATATAGTTGGACCAATTAGGCTGTTTTTTTGAAATATTTGAAAAAGTCCTAGGAAGGTTTATATAAAGAGGAAAGTTGGGAAAATTGCCCAGAAAAATATAAAAATCTCATTTTTATCTCATACAAATTGTTTTTTATTTGCGCATAGATGGACTGCTACAGCTTAATAGCTTTAGACAGAACGAAGTCAGCTAGTCATAAATCTATTTATCGGGTCAGCTAGTAATAAATATAAATCAGCTCTATTTCTTTACATATACACATTTATATTTTTATATATAAAGGTCTTATACCTATGTTTATTTATTTTATTAAAAAAATCTCTTAAAGGGAATTCAGACAATATTTTAATAGATGTTGATATAAAAATAGCTGTCTTAATTATTAATTTATAATTAATTAAATTAAAAATTCTTAGTATAGATACTTATCAACAAACAAATTATGTACAAAATGAATTTTCCTAGAAACTTAACGCTTTAGTTTATAATTAGGCAATTTAAATATTTTAACAGTAAATTTTCACAATGACTCCATAATTATAAAGTTGTAACTGATTCTAAACTTTTCATCATTATTTAATTTTCATTAATTAAGCTTTGTCTGTTGTAGGATTTACAATGATAAATTGAGGCACATCAAGGGAACTTGTTTATCGATATTTTAATTAAGTTAATTAGAGCAAAAGTGTCGAGTGGTTCAGTTTAGAGAAATATTTTAATATTCCAAATTCTTTTCTTTTTACGAGTACGTTCAAATTAATAATGTATCGATTAAAACGGTTATAATATTAATTTAAAGTAAATTAACTCAAACACGCGAGAAATTTTTCTACTCTCAAATTTGATTATAATTTAAGCATTATTAAGCTAATAATGCTTAAATTATAATCAAATTTGAGATCTTATTGTTTTAATGTAATTTAATTTTAGAAATATGAGTTTGTTAGATTTAATAAGCAAGGTGATTAAATAAAAAACGAAGTATAAGTTGCTGTAATATTGATGTAAGCTTTAATAAAATACTCAAAGTTAAATATATATGAAGGTGAATAAATAAGGATAGATTGATTTCATCATATAATCTTGTTTATTATTTCTTTATTATTATATTTTTAATATTATTTTTGTAACTAATGTAGTTTCGGATTGCAGACATCTGCGGAAAATAAACTACAAGATACTCAGCAGTTACTATTTTAAAATCAATATGTTACATAATCTTTACTTCTTATAATATAGTTAATATCTCATAATATCATTAATTTAGAACACAATAATAATTATTTTATAGTTTAGAAATATATATTACCTTATAATTCGACGCATCACACGAGACTGTTAGAATAACATTATTAAATAATGATGTTTACACATCATTGATATATTTAGTAGTAGGCTACTAAATAGCCAAAGATATTAGAAGCAGCTCAGAAATATCTAGAGTCGGGTTAAAAACATTTATTGTAACTTTGTATGTTAGCACACTAGATTTGTAACATTAAATTGGCTTTTGATGTTATAATGTTATAATCATTTTTTATGAATAAATAATTAATAAAAACAGTCTCCACGAGACTCCAATACAAGATTGATATCAAGACTGTTATAATATTTCCCTTAATTCATAGCCACTCTTATATACTATTCGACATTAATCAAATCAATAGTAATCAATAACACTTTCGCAGTGAAATCAATGTTATTAGTTTATAATATAATTACTAATATTTGAACCAATTGATAATAAATATAAATCACTACAATTATTTCATTATTTCACAGAATAGTTGATAGTACCTATTTACGTATTATTTTACTGTTGTAAACAATGTTCAAATTACTCGTACAATATTTTTTATTAAATCACAATATTGTTAATAATTGTAATTTCAATTATTAACTTGGATAAATTACATTTTAATTGAATTTATAAACCTTATTGCCTTGCCATGGACTTGCTGAAGTCAATATATCTACTATTAAAAACCCATGTTATCATATTAAATTTAATTAAAATTAAGTAAATAATACAGTTAAATTATATAATAATATAAAATATGTATAATCAAACAATAAAATAATTATATGCGTAAAATTTAATAAATAATAATTATGGTCACAATCATAGATTAATATATATAAGTTAAGGACATAGGCTTTTGATATTAAATCTAAAGAAATGTAGGAGTAAATAGAATGTATTTCATTATAATGTTTAAATCATATAATTATTATCATCATTACAGTCGTGAATTAACTACATCTGAACATAGGTCTCTCTCATAGACTTAATCAAATGTACGTACCTACACATTTAGATTTAACATTTGTAATACTTAAAAAGGGTTAAAAGCAAGGGAATTAATTATTTAAGCAGGTAAGTAACGAAAATTAAAATAAATTCAAGCATACTATAGAAATCAAAGGATTTTTTCTATGATGTGGCAAAATGAAAGAGAACCTTTTAACTAAGCAAATGCGACTGCGTATTTTATTTGAGGTAT